AGTTTATAGTATTGACTAGGATACTTTTGGAATGAAAACAAACTCATTCATTAACAAAATCAGGTATAACACAAAGTTTATGAACTATGAAAACGTATATTAAAGCAAGATTCCGTTCATTCATTATCACTAGTATTGACTGTTAGTATTTATCTACTATATATACCATAACCCTCCAAATGCCCTGGTACGGCCGAGAGTGGGGAGAGTCCGCTCTCCCTCTCCAAATGCTCTCACATGGCCACGCGTATATAGCCTCTGTCAGGGAAGTCCTACTCACTGCCTTTCGTGGCGGTGGTGTTGTTTACGAAAATGAGAGGACGAAAAGCGAATGTTCGGCGCTTTAACCGGATTCCAATAAAGAATTATTTTTTTATGCCACATTATATTACTGCTATGAGATGATAATACGATCAGTGACCAAGATCTATGCTAACACTAGACTAGACACTTAATCATTACATTGTACACAGACTACATCACATTATAACAGGACACACTATTCACAACTGAATATAAAGAACTAAAGTAAAGACTAAAGAATACTTTATTTTAAAAAAATTTCAATCAGCCTATACTCAATGTGTTCAGAGTAGAACTCCAGAAAATGAAGTCAAATAGTTAATGAGATGTCTATCTGTCTGCCGACGTTTCACTAACCAATCATATTCTACTTCTACTAGCACACTTATTTATTTATTTAAACACAAAAAACATTGGTACGAGGAGGTACCAAATGGATATTCGCCACATAAATCATCCGATTTTTATGAGGGCTATGATACTGGTCGGGTGTCCACACCGAAACAGGTGGTTTTCTTGGGAGGCCACACACAGAGCCTTTGATCCAAAGGTCTGATCCACAAGGCAGTGGAGCAACGTTAGAAGATGCAGTCACATGGTAGCCAGTGACCAGCGATTGGTTCACAAGCCATCTGCTCCTCCAAGATCTTAGAGTCCATGTACACCATTGGTTTTGAATGAGGGTTTTCCAACTCCCCTAAGTGGACTCTTCGTGTCTACCAACGCGATTTAAGTTGCAGACATTTGCTTTTTATGCTCTCAATGTCGTAAACAACACCCGTGATGCAAGAACGCAGTGAGTAGGACTTTCCTGGCAAGGGTTGTATGCACGTGTCCATATGAGGGTATTGCGAGAGTGAGAGCTAACTCTCCCCACTTTCGACCGTTCCAAGGTATTTAGGGGCACATTAATAATCTCTGTTCACTTATGTACATTATTCTTCTTTAAAGTTCTCAGTTATCATTTATGTCAACAAGTTCATTTATTCATTATTATTATTATTATTATTATTATTATTATTATTATTATTATTATTATTATTATTATTATTATTATTGTTTCATAGGTCTTATCAATGTTCTAACACGTAATCCAGCATTAAGAATTGTTACATCAGAAATTCATCCAGTTGTACCAAGTCATTTTGGTCAACGTTATTTTGGTACATTTTAATCTAAATTATGTTATATTGTATTTTTCTTTCTCTCTTCTTTCTTTTCTTTTCTTTCACTGCACTACTGTCCAATACTTTTATCATATCAGGTTATATAACAACATGATATGCTTTACTTCAATCTAAACACCCCCCCCCTAGGGTGATATCACAACTAAAACACATAAATCAAATCACTTATGTAACATATATTGTATTCTGTGCCACCCACGCACACACACACACCTCCTCCTTCTTTGTATCAATATGGATATATATTCAATGTCATATTGATTATTGAATAGTCTTCTTCTTTATTATTCTTTATTTGGTATTATTTCTATTTCACAATGAGATCTTTTCTTTGTATACAATGCATGTAATGCCCTAAATATTATGATCTGTTAGTTAACATATTTAAACAACAAGGTAAATGAACCAAAAAAGAGAGTATATTTTGAAATTTATAGGAAATTGTAAGTTTTAATGAAATAAAAACAATCTCTATAAAACCCCCACCTTCTGATAATGATCATCATGTGCTCAAGATAGATTTCCTGGAGTTTCGGTTAGAAGCCGTGACCAATGTAAACAATGGTGAAAGGTGAAGCATTATCATTGGTTGAAGTTAGACATTAACACTGTTGAATGCCAGCTGACTCACTGGTCTAGAGGTTAAGCGTTCGCACGCTTGACTAAAAGTCTTGTGTTGGAATTACACGAGCAGGATCGTGAATGCACACTGCTGAGGAGTCTCACAACAGGATGAAACGGCCGTTCAGTGATTTCAGGTTTTTCATAGTGGTCTAGTTCTAATCGACTCACGAGTTGAACTACTAGAAAACAATCATTACAAACAGAGCTGTTAACCATTGTCTTCATGACAAATAATTTACGGTAGAATCATGTATCTGAAGTCTAATTACACATTTAAATGTTGGAGATGATCATAGATTGTTCTTATTTGATCATAAATACTATTGAAACATGGCTTGTTTATGATTGAACCATTCACTTAAAGTAGAAATGCTATCGTTTGATCACGAGATTTCAATCTTCATTCATTGAATTAATTGTAGCATGCATCACATGTAGTTATTAACTTCCCACTATGATGTACTTTGTTAGCCAGTATAGGATTAATAGTCGATGTAAAGTGGCTAAATATTATACTGAACAATGTTTGTAAGTGATAAACTCCTGGATGTAAACCTTGAAGTATTCATTAGATTATTCTCAATTTACAATTTAGTATTACCCCATACTTTCCAATTATATCCTTGTGGCTAACTTGGAATCTGTTTCTTTTTCCATGTCTTTTATTGTGGCAACCTGAATATACGTATATTGATAGTGTAGTTCTTTAATTTCAGAGAGAAAAAACTCCATCCAAATCATTCAGCTGAGCTACAAATCTCCATGTATAAATCGTTCTAGATTGTGTATTGCTTATAAGTAATCTGATGGAATCATCAGTCGTTTCTCTCTGAATTACTAAATGGTTTTACCTGCTTGATCAAGAAACCTTTCTGTCAGTGTTTAGTACTTCTATGTTATAGAATGAGTACGTTTTGTAGTTCAATCCACAGAGTTGTACTTGGCTTCAATTTTAATCTTCAGAATGATGATTTTCTCGTGAAGTTTTGGGTTAGGATTTTTATATTTAAGAGTTTTAGTGTTTGAAGGTTAGAAGTTAGGCTTTAAAAGTTGTAGGATTTTACTTCCATACAAAACTATGATATCTAGTCTAAATAGTTGATATCTTCGATTGACCAATTCCTAGGTCATCCTTTAAATCGCTTAAGGTCTTCCGTATAGTATTGATTCATTTGGATTTTCCATCATATGCTGGTAACATCTCGATTATATGATTCATCAAACATGTAGGAATTACGACTATTGTCTACTTTCAAAGACCAGGTTTCACAGCCATGAAGTGAGAGGGAGTGAATGGCTGCCCAGTGTCGTCTTTCCTTGGTTGAGTCTTGTATCAACTTTGATTGTTGTCTATCCAATTACATTTATACATTTAACAACACTCTGTTATATGGCCCCCATATGCCCTGGTACGGCTGAGAATGGAGAGAGTCAACTCTCCTCGAAATGCTCTCACATACAACCCCTGTCAGAAGAATCCTACTCACTGCGTTCTTGCATCACGGGTATTGTTTACAACATGGACGAAAAGCGAATGGCCGACGCTTTAACCAGGTTGGTGGACACAGAGTACATCTAGGAGAGTTGGAAAACCCTCATTCAAAACCAATGGTGCACATGGACTTTAGGATCTTGAAGGAGCAGATGCCTTATGAACCAATCGTTGGTCACTGGCTACCATGTGACTGCATCTCCTAACGTTGCTCCACTGCCTTGTGGATCACACCTTTGGGTCAAAGGCTCTATGTGTGGCCTCCTAAGAAAACCACCTGCTTCGGTTTAAATAAATAATACTCTGTTATATCCCGATAAGCATAATGAATGGTAACTGTTGAGATCTACTTCTGGACTAATACTATACTCATATTTTTATTGTATAATTGTTAAGTCACTAAACCATACACATTCATGTTCCTCCTATTATTTCAACCCATGGAATTTTATCATACAATTTACTGTCCTTGAGATAATCCCAATTTATTTGTAACGGCTTCTTACATTCAAGGCTACTTTTGGCTAGAAATTGTACAAATCTTATTTTCTATTTTATGGTGCGATGATAGTCTGTCCGGTTTGTATATAAACCCAATATGTTTAAAATTCATGATTCATATCGTGAAGGTTGAGATTTGTGTTCCAAACTCAACATTCAGATAGGGTTAGATAGGAAGCAGGACCGATATGAACTTTAGACTGTTCGTACAAGTTTACACATCATTGATCCGATCAATAAATCACTGTTCTTTAATTGCGAATATCATCATAACGTCACATATTGATAGAGTGACAAGTTATAACATATACTAAAGACTTTGTGGTGAGACTATAATTTATGGACGACCTTTGAGCGACGCTCAAGTAACCTTGAGAGTGAACAACTTCTAATTAGGATTAAATGAAGGTTATAAAGCAGTTAGAATTCCCAATTACAGTTGATGGTTAAGGTTAAAAATTAGATTTAGGGTGTTGCATCACGAACTGACATCAGCTTTATAATGCCAAAATTCTATTTAGCCAAATGGATGGATGAATCCCGCGCCCAAATTCGTGACTCGTTATCTTATATCGGATTGGTTCGTCCATAAATTATGGTCTGGCCGACTTTATCAACTCTAACACAGATATTTCACTGGTTGAAATCATGAATCAATTGAAGCTAGACCATCATGGAAAACGAAGCACTGGACGGCTGTTTCGTCCTAATATGAGACTCCTCGGCAGTGAGCATACACAGATAGTTATAACACAGTTCTTGATCAAAAAGAAGAAAACAATCAATAATATCATACAAATATTTAGTTGAAAATGCTTCATTCATTGAAAAAGATTCAATGATCTTTACAATAAGAAAAGATACTTTTGTTTATCATAATGGATTTACAATGATTACGTAATACTATGGTTGCTATCGGTATATTCACTGAAGTCAGTACCCGTATCTAAAATGAAATAATCCAATGAATATTGATTATTGTTATTGAATTGATTATATTGTGTAAAAGTTTATTTATGATATGTATGTTGGTCACGTAACAGAGGTGAATGAGTTATATGTCATGTTAAATGTAATTACTAACTAGTAACAGTAATCAGTATACTATTCTATTAACTCCGCCTAGAGACCCTCTTGGGATACTGCCGGTCTCAAGACCGGATAAAGGGGAAGGGTTGGGCATGGGATTAGCGACCTTATCCCGTAGAAAACTAACTCGCTAAAAAAACAATAACCAGAAATATAATTCTATTCCATTGTCCTTGGTACTAATTGTATTCATTTAATTAAGATATAGTGTGATCACTATTTATTTGTCAAATATAGAACAGCTCATTAGTTCGGCTTTCGAAATCCTTCATCGTTTTGTTTCAACGACTTTGAACGGCTTGACAAGAAACTGTTATTCCGTATTTCAACTGCTGTGGGTTTGCTAGGTACAAAATAACTACTGAAAGCATTGATTTGGCTATATCTGTTTTGTAATGTGAAAACTACAGAGGCATTACACTACTGTCAATACCAAGGAAAATCTTCAACAGAGTGTTGCTGAACCGGATGAAGGATGCAGTAGACGCCCAACTTCGAGATCAACAAGCTGGATTCCGTAAGGATCGGTCGTGCGCAGACCAAATTGCAACACTACGGATCATCGTCGAACAATCAGTTGAGTGGAACTCATCACTATACATCAACATTGATTATGAAAAGGCATTCGACAGTGTAGATAGGAGGACATTATGGAAACTTCTTCGACACTACGGAGTTCCTGAGAAGATTGTCAGTATTATCCGGAACTCATACGACGGACTACAGTGCAAAGTAGTGCATGGAGGACAGCTGACAGATGCATTCCAAGTAAGGACCGGGGTCAGACAAGGCTGTTTACTCTCTCCCTTCCTCTTTCTTCTGGTGGTCGACTGGATTATGAAGACCTCAACATCTGAAGGAAAACACGGAATACAATGGACAGCTCAGAACCAATTAGACGATTTGGACTTCGCAGATGACCTAGCCCTCCTATCACGTACACACGAACAGATGCAGATGAAGACAGCCAGTGTAGCAGCAGTCTCTGCATCAGTAGGCCTCAGCATACACAAAGGGAAAACTAAGGTCGTCAAATTCAAAGCGGAGAACAGCAATCCAATCACACTTGATGGCGAAACTATGGAAGATGTAGAGTCCTTCACATACCTGGGAAGCATCATCGATGAACAAGGAGGTTCAGATGCAGACGTAAAGGCGAGGATCGGCAAAGCAAGGGTCGCATTCCTACAATTGAAGAACATATGGAACTCAAAACAATTTTCAACCAATATCAAAGTGAGAATCTTCAATACGAACGTCAAGGCAGTTCTACTGTATGGAGCTGAAACTTGGAGAACTACAACAACCACCATCAAGAAAGTACAAGTATTTATAAATAGCTGTCTACGCAAGATACTCAACATCCATTGATGTCATTCAGAAGAACAATGAAAGCTCCACGACCAAACCATCTAAGCTCAATTGAAAAAACTTCATAAAAATGATCTACCTGAGTTACAAATCTTCTCCATCATCTGATAACCAATAATATATATCATTTACCAATCATTTCATTCAATAGCATACATCTCTGTATATCTATATAAACCTTATTTATGCAGTGACTTAAAAAGAAAATATCGATTTTTTACACTATTAAATGACCGACCTAATACTTATGATTGAAATGTCTTGTTCACTAAAAATTTCATTCATTGGCACATAGTACTAAATGAACTTTCTAAAAAAAAACAGAAAAAAGTATCATTTTCATTTCAGTTTATCTACTGAATAGAATGTAACAATGATGTGTGTTTTTAGCTCCAACGACACGCACACTTCATAGTGCGGAGACTCAATTTCGTGGATTGGTTAAAGTTAGACATTAATATTGTTGGATGAAGACTCAGTAATCTAGGGACTAAACGTCCGCTTGCGATGCCGAAAGTCGCAGGTTAGAATCTCGTGAGGCGGGATCATGGATGCTCACTGCTGAGGAGTCCCACAATAGGACGAAATGGCCATCCAGTGCTTCCAGGTTTTCAATGGTGGTATAACATTATTCAACTCATGATCTCAATCAAAAATATAATGATCTCCACAATACCATACTGTTAATTACCATGTGCTCCCTAGTGACTAGCTTCGTGAGAGAATTCTCGGAGATCTAGTGAGGAGCAGTGATCACTGGAGATAATCCGTGTCAGGTAGAGAGAGATATCTATGGAAGATGGTCGCGCGATTTCGTGGAATGGTTGAAGTTAGAGATTAACACAGTTAGATGTCAGATCAGTGATCTAGGAGTTAAACGTGCGCTCGTGAGCGCGATCATGAGTGAGCACTGCTGAGGAGTCCTATACTAGGGCGAAAAGACCGTCTAGTGCACACAGGTTTTCCATGGTGGTCTTGCGTAAATCAACTCATGATTACAACCATTAAATTTGTACTCACTGATCAATCATAGTTTGTAATAAATGAAAATTAATCAACCTAAATGTCTGATTTACTAATACTGCCCTTACCAAAGTATAATACTGAATATATCTAAAGTATACAATAAAGCCTCTAATAATCAAGTGATTTCATTTTCAACACTTCATAATTGGACTTATAGGTCTTGGGTTCGAATCTCACGGGGGGCGGGATCATGAATGCGCACTGCTGAGGAGTCCCATACTAGGACGAAACGTCCGTTCAGTGCTTCCAGGTTTTCCATGGTGGTCTAGCTTCAATTGACTCATGATTTCAATCAGTGAAATTTCTAGAAATCTCCACAAAACCCATTCTGATAGAATATATTTGTTTAACTGATTAAGAATATTGATATTGAACAGTCAACCATGTGTATTAATCATGTGACATTCAAATATGATCTTTTTGTTATTAACCAATGTCCATATAAGTCCATAGTGAAACATTTTCCATTTTACAATGAGACTATCGTTGTTGTTGAATGACCTTTGAGTGTCACTAAACTGACCATGAAAATGTCCACCTATTAAATAGGATTAAATGAGAGTTCTAAACCAGTGTGTAAGAAATTAGAATTATGATTGACAGTTGATGTTTAAGATTAGGAATTGGATTCAGGGTTTTCATCGTAAACCGACATCAGTTAATTTGCCAGAATGCTATTTAGCCAAATAGATATTTGAATTTCGCTCCAAAATTCAAAATCTATTATTCTAAATCTGATTGGTTCGTTCATAAATTATGGTCTCGTCGTAGCCAAATGAGAAGGTTACTCGATGACAGAGATTACCTGTAGGACAAATGCATACTATTGGCTAAGAAATATATATATATATATATATATATATATATATATATATATATCGTTGGCTATGGTAACACTTAAGGTGAAAGCCAAATGAGGAAGTTTAGTGTTAAAATTCGATGTAGAAGGAATAATGGAAATTGAAGTGGGAGGTTGATTATGAATACAGTGGTTTTGCAGTGCTGTTAGACGTATGAGGGCGGTTTTCATTTCCCGGTTGCCCACACTGTGAAACGGTTTTTCTAGAAGTACCTGGAAACGAAATTGGTTTAGGGATGGTCTTAGCGACCTGAGAGCGTGAGTGCAGTGCTCAAGGGACAACTGGTTTAATTCGGTCACACACGACCATTTTGTGAGTAATTTTTGTGTTATCTCCATACTTGTTGAGACCTTATTTTCGGAGACGGATATCGGTGAGATAAGGTGAGTTGTGCATTTTTAGAGTGGACTTTTTCTAACTCCAACCCTCATTGTGGGAAGGCAGCATCGCTGTTATGCGGATAGCACGTAGCACATTCAGTTTCAACCCCACAACTTCATATCACAAATTATAAATTTTTTATATACATAAATAAATACAGTATTACGGAAATCATCAAACTTCATCACTAGGCAAGCCCTAACTTATAATCCTAAAGGGAAACGCTAAAGTGAAAGGCCGAAGAACACTCTGCGTCGAGAATTGGAAGTAGATATGGAAAGAATGAATAACAACAACTTGAAAGAGCTGGAAAGGATTGCTCAGGAGAATGCTGGTGAGTGGCCTACGCTCCTTCACGAGGAGTTACAGGAGTAGGTAAGTAAGTACAGTGATGTGTTATACAGGATGACTTTGATTAAAAGTGGCCCAATACTGACATGTTCATACCTATTATGATACTCATTATATTAAAAATATTTTAGTTTGTTTCCTTAGTATTATTTAAATTTAGTTATGAATACAGTATTTTAAGATAGAATAAATGAATTTAAGGTTTAACGCTCGCGCATGAGACTAATAAGTCCTGAATTCGAAACTCATGCAGCGGGATCGTGGATGCACACTGCAGAGGGGTCCGATACTAGGATGTAACGGTCGTCTAGTACTTCCAAGTTTTCCATAGTGGTCTAGTTTCAATTTAAATCGTGAATTTCAACTATTGAATTATTATAATATCCACAAAAAACACCTTCGAATATTAATCAATCTATGCTCACTAGTGACTAGCTTCAACACGTATTTCCTAGAGTTCTAGTGAGAAGCAGCGAACAGTAGAGTTCAACCGTGTTTGTTGTGAGATGGTAACTCACTGAAGACAATGGTGGATGGTGGCTCAATTTCGTGGATTGGTTGAACTTAGACATTAACACGGTTGAATGCAGGCAAGCTGAGTGGTTTAAAGGTTAAGCGTTCGCGCACGAGACCTATGGGTCCTGGGTTTGAGTGCCGTGATGCGGGATCGTGGATTTGCACTACTGAATAGTCCTATACTAGGATGAAACGGCTGTCCAGTGCTTCTAGGTTTTCCATAGTTGTATCACTTCAATTGACTTATGAATTTCAATTATTAAAATTACTACTATAGCAGATAATGTGAACCTAACAACATAACCTAATTCAATAGTCAATATCTTTATGGATTGACGTTAGATTTTTATTTCAGCTATTCTTAGTATCATACTATTGAAACATTTAAACCTACTTTATAGCTCAAATGAATAAACCATAATGAGACTATAATTTATGGATGACCTTTGAACGAAGCTCAAGTGATCTTGAGAATGTTCAACCACTCACTAGAACTAGATAAAGATCACAAATCTGTGTGAGGAATTAGAATTATGATTTACAATTGATGATTAAGATTAGGAATTAGATCTAAGGTGTTTCATCACGAACTGACATTAGCTATAATGCTAAATCTCTATTTTAACAAAAGAATGATGAATGGATTTCGAGCCATAAACCAAGACCTATTAGCTTAAATCTGATTGGTTCATTCATAAATTATAATGTTGCCGCCTATAAAATCGGTTTGATTTACTGTTGATTGTTCACCAATTTAATTACAGTTACATAGTTTGTTTTCGAATCCATGTATTTCTTCAATGTCTTCAACTCTACCTGATTTCTTCGTATAACTAAATAGTCATAATTGAATTTGTAAAGATTTAGTTTATCTAATTATGGATATTTCGATTGACTTTTGATCACTAGCCTCCAAATGCCCTGGTACGGCCGAGAGTGGGGAGAGTCCGCTCTCCCACTCCAAATGCTCTCACATGGCTACGCGTATATAGCCTCTGCCAGGGAAGTCCTACTCATTGCCTTCTCGTGGCGGGGGTGTTGTTCACGAAAATGAGAGGACGAAAAGTGAATGTCCGAAGCTTTAACAGGATTCCAAACCAATGGTGTACATGGGCTCCAGTATCCTGAAGGAACAAATGGAGAATGAACCAATTGTCAGTTACCAGCTACCATGGGACTGTATCTCCTTACGATGCTCCAGTACCTTGTGGGTCAGATCTTCAGGTCAAAGGCTCGGGCTGTGGCCCCCTAAGAAAACCACATGGATCGGTTTGGGCACCCGAGCAGTATCACAGCCGTCACAAATGTCGAATGAGATTTGTGTGGCGCATATCTATTTGGCGCTTTCTTGAACCAATATCTATGTGTTAAGATAAAATACAATAAATTGATCACTCTTAGTTGGTGTATGTATATTCTCTATTCAAAGCCTAGATATAGCCAATATGAAACAAGTTTACACTTAGAAAATGGAATTTGGTTAGCGCTTTAACTTGTTTTGGAATGGTTGGCTGAGTTCATCTGCATTCCACAGTTCATGTTATTTATGAAGTCAGTAACACAGTGAATAATAATATATCGACGTTTTTCGTGGTGCGTACTGGTTTTTAATATCGAAGAGAACTTCATCTCTAGGATCCAATTACGTTCAGCTGACAAGCCTCATATTGAATGAAACATTCGTCATGAATTTCACATATAGTGCGGCAGTTCGTTCTGTTCTACTTTACGGCTGCGAAACGTGGCCATTAAGATTAGGAGATACTCGGAAGCTAACAGTATTTGACCACAGATGTCTTAGAAATATTGCTGGCATATGCTGGGATCACCGGGTAAGTAATAGTGAGGTTAGACAAAGGGTATTAGGGAATGATGATAAATCAGTTAATGAGGTTGTAAATCTACGTTAACTGAGATGCTCGGGTCACGTGTTGCATATGCCTGAATACCGATTACCACAACGCGCAATGCTGACTAGTGTTGGGTTTAGGGTTGGAAGAAAGTTTGATGTGGCCAAACCAAGACGTGACATCAATACTTGAAGTCACTAACTTCTAGTCTTAACCATGTTAGTAGATGCAGACTACTTGATTGGGGTTCATGTGACTATCGTAATCAATGGTTGGAGACTGTGGTATATGACTCAGAATCGGTCACAATGGCGTAGGTGTATACACTCTCTATCTTCCTTTAAACTGTGAAATTAAAATCGCTTCATATCTTTCCTTCTACGAACCAATTCTTTCTTCCTGTACTATAGCCTTACACACAATCTTTTTTTAATATATTACCACCATTGAATTAACTAATTTTATGGATCCGGTGTTCATCTTGTTGTGCCAATGCGGTATGGCAATTTGGACGGATGTATAAATGTGCCTGGTCCTATGTTTTAGCTGACTGACTGACTTCACAGTTAACCATATTTCATCTATTCTATGTAAACTATATAGTCAATCTTATATATTCCATCTCATTAATATAATAACACTTAAAGTAACATATGAATTAATGTTCATCTCATAACTTAAGAAAGATCATTGAATTGCTTCAAATTCATTAGAAGAAATGACGTCGCCAAGTTTTATTAAATTGAATTTAAATTAAGTCTACTATAAGTAGTATGATTACTTTTATTAAATTTGTGAAATGATTAGTATATTCCAGGAGAATTTAATAATGGATATAAATAGATATATGCAATGAGAACTTGGTTAGAAACTTAATTTGATAACCGGTAATCTACATATGATACGAGTCTTCATAAGGTACTTGAAATATACTGAAAAAATTAAAACATTAAGTGATTTGACTATCGCCCTGGTACGGCTGAGAGTGAGGAGAGTCAACTCTCCCTCTCCAAATACTCTCATACGTATACGCGTATACAGCTACTGCGTAAGAAGTCCTTATCATTGCTTTCTCGAGGCATTACTGTTGTTTACGAAATTGAGAGGACGAAAAGCGAATGTTTGGTGCTTTAACCAAGTTGGTGAATATGGAAGATCCACCTAAGGGAGTTGGAAACCCATCATTCCAAACCAATGGTGCACATGTACTCCAGGATCCTGAGGGAACCAATGGAGTATAAACCAATTACCAATTGCAGTCCTAAACATCAATGAGAAGATTTAAACAACCAATACAACAATGAATTCAACTTCACATCACTATATAAGCTATTGGCTATCTAGACTCAGTAGGTAAGTGGATAAAGCGATGGCATTTTTAAGCGAACGGTGCCGGGTTCGAGTTCCAGAGTGAACATCAACTCTGAAATGCAGGTACATACAGCTGACAAGTCTCAAATAGAACAAAACGTACATCCTAGATTCCACTGTTAGACACTATACATCTTTGCTTAGAATGTTTGTAACCTAAGGAAATCTCGAGACCATTCGCATATATATCAACAAGAGACTGATCAATTACAACGTTAGAAAGATACAAATAAAACAACATCAATTGAATTCATATTCATCTATAATGAGACTTACCAATTGAATTGTTAACACACCAACGTTTTTTCAGTATTATTTTAAAGCATAACCATTTTTGTAAATAACATAATGTACATAATGTACAAAGAAATATTATACCAGTTATACATAAATAACACCATGCCCATAATGGTAAATAAGAATAAGAAATGATTTCTTCTTCAGTGAACATTGAATAAGATACGTTTTAAACAAAATGTTGGATGATTATGTAAGAAATAAAATTGATTATAATCTTATGATAATTAGAATATGAATAAGACATTGTCATTACACTGTTATATGCAATCATTTACTCTATCCTATACACTACTGATTTCAATCAAAGTACACATGGATCGATAATTCAAATCATTCCATGTTATGGATATAGTAGTACTCATGGATAGGGGTGAAGGGGGTGTGGTGAGGGTAAGTAAATGAGTACTTTACCCCCTTCCCCAAAGACGAACATGTATATTTCATATAGTTTGTAAAAGGATATCGTTGTAGAATTTGACTTTGATTTTCATTGGTTATTAATACGTGTTGGAGAAGCCTGTTGATTGTTCCCCGTTTACATATATGAAATTCACTTATGAGAAAGATATATAGTACATTATAGTAGAAAACCATAAGGTGGTTATTTTCTAATCTAACACTTACCTACAATCCGTCATTTACTAATCAATTCTTATCTTAACACTTATTGGCTATTAATTACTAACCAATATATTACTGTGTAGCTACTTACGGCTGTTACCCTTCATGGAGAAGCATAGGTCGGTCATCAGTATTCTCTATTCAACTCTGTCCTGGACAATCCTTCCCAGTTGGCTAATCTAATTCTTAACAGAAGGAAATGAATTCGAACATGAGTAAGAGCATTAAGATTGAAAATAGACATTACTAATGATGAGAAATAAAAAATAGATTCATGATTGTCTGCCAATCAATATTAACTAGTGATTACCAAAATAGGAGTACCAATGTATTAAACAACTTAGTACAGTTGCGGTGTGTGCTACTTATATTGACATAAATAGTAGATGATGTTAGTCGTGAACAGAAGGTCTGGCAGCAGAGAGATAAGAGGATCGAACAGTAAAGAATGGAAACAGGATGTGAGTTGTATGAAAATGCAAGAACAATGAAACCTGAGTCATTATGAGACAACTGATGGACATTTTGCAGATTAGGTATTTACTATTTGATTGTTAAGTTTTACTAACGAGTCCTGTAATTTTGTGTCAAATACATTCGATTGTCCCCAGCCGTGTTCTGTTCACTACACAGTGATCGTACTACAATTTGTAAGTAAGACGTTGTAGATACTGTTGAGTTTTATTCAAATCATAGGCCGATCTAAGTTAAACTACTATTAAAAATCCGCTGGTATTGGGCATCCGTTTCATCCAAATATGTGTATCCAGATCTTCAATGGCGATCTAACTTGTATTTCACAGTTTAAATGATGAAATGATTTTAGTTAGATAACCACTGAGAATAGAAGGCTCTGGAAATCTGTCTCTTCCTAAATAGCGTGCATACAAAACCGAACCGCCGTGAGTCCTAGTTCCTATTTGTAAACCCGCATTAGCGAAAAGTTCCATATTACGACAAAAAAGTTGTCTAACGCTTGACGTCTTGATGTAAAACTTTCAAACAAATAAGGACAGCCATTATTACCCAATGATTTCTTAATTTTTAACTCCATGATCGAATTTACCCACGTCTTCCATGAAACTTCTGGTATATATGTGCTCTACACTGTCATATTCATAGAAGACATATATATATATTCAACTCTGCATGACTGAAATGAAACTCCAAGTAACAGTTACACTCTTATATGTAGCACTAACACACTAAATGCATAGGATATTGCACTTTCATTAAGCACTGAACAGAAATGGTCATCTTTACACCTACATCAGTTTCTTGCACTATGCATATCAGTTTGTGATTTAAAAAAACCCTAATTTCGTATCTTGACTATTAATCCTTAACACTAGTTCATAATCCAATTTTAAACCAAGTGGTTGGTAATCCGCAAGACAAATTTTGGGAACCATCTCTAAAATTTAACTCAATCAAATAATCAATCTATCGTAAGCTGTAGAGTTAAAGAATTTGTATGACTATGATAACACTTATAATTGAGAGTACAATTTAAAACTAGAATTTTATGGTTCATTTCAATATAAGTGAATATAAATTGTATTTCACTGAAAACTACTATTTGTGTGACGATCAAGTATTTACATGGTGTGTTAGATGTAAAGTATATCCAAGGTAGAGAAGCTGAAGTTCGAAAGTTGTATTAAAAAAAATAAGTTGTTATCACTGATTCCGTAAACATATTCGTGAACCTTAGTATTACTAGTATGATGTGAGATATTCTTTTGAAGTAACGTTGAAAGAACACAAAATCGTCGAACGTTTTTAGCTAAGAACGATCTAGTTTCATAAACCAAGAAGCCGATCCTTTAAACCTATCACGATAGTAACAAACGTGGCACAGGATTACACAGCCTGGTTTCGCTTTTATTGTAGATAAATAGATCTTATCTGTCATTTACGAACAACAGACACAAAAACGGACCAAACACATGAACTTTGAGAATATTTCTTACATTTCACTGTAGTTTCGAAAGTAAGGTAGTACTTCACCGAAGACTTGAAATACGAATCCTATTATGAGAATAAATGACAACAGTTTCATATAAACATAAATGCTATTTAATGATCTTAAGGGACTGTGTTTGCCAAAAGACCTGAACCGTGCTAAGTAACCGACCATGTGAATTGTTGCATGAGTGCGCGCACTTCTAAGGAATACCTAATATAGACTAGCTGTCCAGTATTGCATAGCTACAACGCAGGACCAGGCACATTTATACATCCATCTAAGTTGTCACACCTCATTAGCACAACAAGATGAACACCGGATCCATAAAAGTAGTTAATTCAATGGTGGTAATATATAAAAGAAAGATTGTAATAAGGATATAGTACAGGAAGAAAGAATTAGTTCGTAGAAAGAAAGATATGAAGCGATTTTAATCTCACAGTTTAAGGGAAGACAAAGAGTGTATACACCGACGTCGTTCTGACCCATGTCACCAAGTCTCCAACCATTGATTAGGATAATCATGAGGACACCAACCAAGTAGTCTGTATCTACCAACATGGTTAAGACTAGAAGTTAGTGACTTCAAGCACTGATGTCACATCTTAGTTTGGCCACATCAAACTTTCTTCCAACCCCAACCCCAACACTAGTCAGCATTGCGAGTTGTGGTAATCGGTATTCAGGCATATGCAACACGTGACCCGACCATCTCATTCAACGTAGATTTACAACCTTATCAACTAATTTGCCATCATTCCCTAATACACTGAATAGTTCTCTCGAGCTAATATTATTTTGCTTTAAAAATTAGCCCCACCCTCCACCCATCAAAGAACTTATCTAACATGAAGCAAACAAAATAAATATTTCAGTAAATCATCTCAACATAATAAACATTCCAAATATCATAATTTTATGTACAAAGTCAAACTGTCCATAGATCAGTAGATCAAAGGGTATAATAATAATAATAATAATAATGAATCGGATCATTCAACATTCTTTTCATCTGTATATTGTGTTGGTAAACCAACACGACCATCTTTTATTTGTGCTATAGGTGTTTGACCAATTTTCGGATCTAAACCATACCATGTTCGATTAACTCGATTAGCGTATAAATTCCATTGATTATAGTCAATTAATTCACCTGATGATTGAACAATTAAAGATTGAGAATTATCTTCAGGATGAAGTTTATTTTCTGGAATAAAACGACTATGTCCATCAATTAATGAAACCATGGCGAATGATTCAGTTATTTGTGGAATAACATTCTCCACAGGTATATAAGCTTGACCACCTAAAGAAAATTAAAAATTATTTCTAACATTTTCATATACATTGAAAGATGAAAGAAAAAGTATGCACTGAATAAGTTACAATTAATTGATCAGTGAGAAGTAATTAATGTTGGCCAAATTACTTAAGTTTAAACGTGTCCACTGATCAAAGTGACTTGACATCACGTACATTATGCTTAGATATTAGGCGGTTGGAAGTAGTCAATAGGAAACCTTGTTTGTTCTAGGTTTCGTGCTAATTACCACTCTTCAACAAAGCGTATCTATAATTTTGAGGGGATTGATTCTCTCAGTAGAATATGAACCTATATCAAGAAGCTTCGTTGCTTAAGATATTAACCATTGGGCTATTTCGATGATAATGTCTTAGTTCTACTGTACATGATGAACAACAAATTTAACAATGTAAGGTATTCACTTTCTGTTGTTTTACTTCTATCTTCCCATTGTTATTTAGGATTATAATTAATCAGTCTCTTGTTGGCATATGTGCATCGTATACGGAGTACCTCGATATTGCTTTAGGTCACAAGCTTTACAGGCATAGATGGATAGTGGCTAACAGTGTAATTCAAGATGCGCGTTTCGTCCTATTTTGGACCCGACAGCTGGATGTACCTGCATCTCATAGTTGATGCTCACCCTGGGACTCAAACATATATATTTATTTGAAAACATAAATATTGGTACAAGAGAGCCCCAACATATATGCGCCACACAAAACAATGAGAATTCGAAGAGAAAGAAAAAAAAGGTAAGGAGCGTGAAAAAAAAGAGAACAACCTACGAAGTATGACGGAAGCCAATAGCTTGGACGCAATCGGAAGTAGACTTATCCCCCGATAGTTGTTACAAGAACGACGTGAACCCTTTTTAAAGATAGGGACAACTATCGACTCATTCCATGACGTTGGTACACTCTCTAGTTCCCAAACCTTTGTAAACAACGTCGTCAATTCCTTAGTCAAAAAGTCACCACCATCTTTAAAAAGAGCCGGAGGTAAGTCATCTGGGCCAGGTGATTTGTAACGCTTCAAGAGTTGGAGTTCCTTGCGGACTGCCGCCTCATTTGGTGGATCAGTCATCACCGGCCATGGAGGGCAGGACAGTCTGACCGATGTTGCCGGAGCAGCAGGCCAGTTGAACTGCCCTTCGAAAAATTCTGCCCATCGTCCAAGACGTCGATGGATGTTAGTGATTGGCATCTCATCATCCTCGCAGATTGTTCCGCAGGATACTGGAGCCCATGTGCAC